CACATCTGTTTTCGAATCAGACGACTAAAACACTCGGGTATGCCTGCTGCCAACGCTTGAAAATCTCAACAACAATCGCGATTGTACTTCAGTGAGACAGGTATATCTTCAACTTAAAAATTGATAAAAAATAGCTGTACTTTTTCTTCTAAGATCAGATACCAAAAAACGCAGTACTTCAAAAAAGCAGAAGAAAAATCTGACGCAAACATGTATTTTTCAACAATCTAAAAATCCACGCCTTTTGCCTGTACATGTCGCAGCTACGAGGATTCGAACCTGCAAGTGAAGAACACATCCGATTTCACGTCCGACGCCTTCACCACTCGGCCATGTTTCCTGTGCATACTTGAAAATCTCAACAGAATCGAGATTGTATTTCAGTTTGAAGTGTATATCTTGTGTTTGAAAAGTTATTAAAAACAGCTGTTCTTTTTTTTCAAAAAAAACATACCAAACATCGCAACATTTTAAACAGTAAAAATGCAATATTTTAGTGAGCAAAAAAAATCTGACGCGAATACGCAATTTTCACCAATCTAAAAGTCTGACGATTAGCCAGTAACCATCGCAGCCAGCAGTATTCGAACCTGTGCGAGAAGATCACATCTGATTTCAAGTCAGACGCCTTAACCACTCGTCCATGTTTGCTGAGATTCTTAATCTCAACAGAATCGACATCGTAATACTGCAAAAGAAAAAATCTGACCCGAGTACGAATTTTTTCAGTATCTTAAAAATCTGCCAATTCAACCAGTGACAATAGCAGCCAGCAGGATTTGAAGCTGCGCCTTTACCACTCGGGCATGCCTACTGCCAACTAACGCAAATATGCATTTTCCTTCAATCTAAAAAACATCCCTTCTTCCCAGTACAAATCGTAGCCAGCAGGATTCAAATCTGCAAGTGAAGATCAGACCTGATTTCACGGCAGACGCCTTAACAACTTGGCCATGTTTGCTGTGATTGACTGAAAATCTCAACGGATCCGAGATAGTTGTGTGAAGCGTTTATCTTAATATTGAAAGATGAATAAAAACCGTGGTTCTATTTTTCAAAAATAAAAAAAACAAAAATCACAATTTTGTATAAAGCAAAACAAAAAATCTGACGCGGTAACGAATCCTTCATAATTCTCAAAACCTGCCAATTCAGCCAGTGAAAATTGCAGCCAGCAGATTTATAACCTGCGCGTGAAGATCACATCTGTTTTCGAAACAGACGACTAAAACACTCGGGGATGCCTGCTGCCAACGCTTGAAAATCTCAACAACAACCGCAATTGGACTTCAGTGAGACGTGTATATCTTCAACTTAAAAATTGATTAAAAACAGTTGTTCTTTTTCTTCAAAGATCAGATACCAAAAAAAACGCAGTACTTCAAAAAAGGAGAAAAAAATCTGACGCAACTATGCAATTTTCAACAATCTAAAAATCCACCCCTTTTGCCAGTACAAGTCACAGCTAGCAGGATTCGAACCTGCAAGTGAAGATCGCATCCGATTTCAAGTCCGACGCCTTAACCTTTCGGCCGTGTTTGCTGTGAATTAATGAAAACCTCAACAGAATCGAGATTGTAATTCAGTTTGAAGTGTATATCTTGTTTAAAAAATTATTAAAAACAGCTGTTTTTTTTTCAAAAAATATACCAAAAATTGCAATATTTTAAACAACAAAAGAAAAAGTCTGATCCAATTATGCATTTTTCACCAATCTAAAAAATTGCCAGATTGCCAGTAACCATCGCAGCCAGCAGGATTCGACTGCGCGTCAAAATCACAACTGATTTCAAGTCAGACATCTTGAACACTCGGCTATGGCTGCCGCCAATGATTGAAAATCTCAACAAAAATCGCTATTGTATTTCAGTGTAAAGGGTTTATCGTACATCTTAAAATTGATTAAAAGCAGCTGTTCTTTTTTCTCAAAATTAAGGTACCAAAAATTGCAATATTTTAGTGAGCAAAAGAAAAATCTGAAGCGAATACGCAATTTTTACCAGTCTCAACAAAAGTGTAAATCTTAAAAATGAAAATTGATTAAAAACATCTGTTCTTTTTTTTCAAAAAAAAAACAATATCAAAAAACGCAGAATTTAAAAGCACAAGAAAAAAATGACGCAAATCTGAATTTTTACCAATCCAAAAACCTAACCCATCTGCCAGTACAAATCGCAGCCAACAGGATTCGAACCTGCAGTTGCCAAAGTTGAGATGTTAAGGCGTCTGACACAAATTGAATCATTGCGGGGTTTGGTATCTGTTTTTATTTATAAAGAAACGCTGCTTTGAAATAATTTTTAAACTTAAGTTATAAGCTTCATACAAAAATACAATCGGGGTTTTAATAAAATTTTTAGGCATTTGCAGCACCTATGGCCCAGATCTTGAGGCGTCTGACTCGAAATCACATATGATTTCCGAGTGCAGGTTCAATTCCTGCTGGCTTTAATTGGTTCTGGCACAAATGGCAGATTTTTAGATCGGTGAAAAATGCATATATGCATCAGATCTTTTTTGCATTTTGAATTATTGCGGTTGTTATCTGTTTTGTGAAACAAAAAGCAAACGCCTATTTGAAATGACTTTTTAAAGTAAAGATAAACAATTTATATCTTTAGATCTTTTTTACTTTTTACCAATGTTAAATTCGTCCATATTTATCAGTACCAATAGCAGCCGGCAGGATTTGAACCATCGCCTTAAGATCACATCTTACTTCGAATCAGAGCGATTGTGTTTTTCTGCGAAGTCTTTATTTTTTTCACCGTTGTAAATATCTTGTTTTGCCAGTACCAATCACAGCCAGCAGAAATCGAACCTGCGCGCGAATTTCACATCTGGTTTCGAGCCAGACGCCTTAACCACACGGAAATTGATGCACTGAACAAAATCACGATGGTTTTTTTGTTTTAAGTTTTTATCTTTATCACCAAAACAAAAATCTTCTGTTTTTGTCTGTACCAATCGCAGCCACCAGGACTCCAACCTGCTCGTGAAGGTCACACCTGATTTTGAGTTAGACGTTCTAACAACGCGGCCCTATTTGCTGTGAATGACTGAAAATCTCAGCAAAATCGAGATTGTAATTCTGTGTGAAGTGTATATCTTAAATTTGAAAATAAATTAAAAACAGTTGTTCTTTGTTTTTCAAAAAACAGATACCCAAAATCATGAAATTCTAAAAAGTAAAAGAGAAAATCTGACCCAAATATGCTTTCTTCACCAATCTAAAAGCCTGCCCTTTTGCCAGTACGAATAGCAGCCAGCAGGATTCGAACCTGCGGCGTGAATTTCACATCTGCTTTCGAGCCAGACGCCTTAACCACTGGGACATTGCTGAAATTAACAAAATCGCGATGGTATTTTTGTTTGAAGTTTATGTCTTTACACCAAAACAGAAATCTTCTGTTTATGCCAGTGCAAATCGCAACCACCAGGATTTGAACCTGCTCGTGAAGGTCGTCTGATTTCGAGTCAGATGCCTTAACTACTCGGCGATGTTTGCTGTGAATGGTTGAAAATCTCAACAGAATCGAGATTGTAAATCTGTGTGAAGTTTATATCTCAAAATTGAAAAATGAATAAAAACAGCTGTTTTTTTTTCTACAAACGGATACCAAAAATCACAATATTCTAAAAAGCAAAAGAAAAAATCTGATGCAAATATGCATTGTTCACCGATCTGAAATTCTGCTCCTTTCGCCAGTACGAATCGTAGCCAGCAGGATTCGAACCTGCTTACGAACGTCACATCTGATTTCGAGGTCAGACGCCTCAACCACCAGACCAGGGCTGCTGTAAAAGATAGCAAATCTCAACAACTGGAATGTAGTTTTGTGAAGTTCAAAATTTACTCAAAGCAGCTTTTCTTTTTTTCCAAAACAGATATCAAAAACCTCAATAATTCAATATGCGTCGGCGGCTATGGCTCCAGCGAACAATTGAAATTCTCACTAAAATCACTAAAACCCATCAGTACTAGTGGGTTTTGCTTTTTTGTACAAAAATAGTGGTGTTATTTCATGGGCTAGCAAATTGCAAACTTCTGTTTCAAAATCTACAGCTGAATTGGAGGCCAAAGCACTTTCTCTAGCATGCAATGAGTGTTTTTTTTTCATGAATTTACTGCAGGAGCTACAAGTTGGGGTAAATAATTTCAAAACGTTTTTTGATAACCAGACATGTAATTCTCTGGTGAAAAACCATGTGAACGAAGGAGTTGTGGAACAATTTGCGATACAGCTACATTTCGTTCGTGACATAATTGAAAAGAAGCAACTAGATTTGAATCATATAGGAACTGAGAGTATGGTTGCTGATATTCTAGCGAAGAAATGGGGAAAAACTAAGTGCCAGCGATTTGAGGATCAGATGTTTGCGATTGAGTGGGGGTTTCAACAATGCAATAATCTTTGAATGTGCAACAAAGTATAATGATGCACTATCTGCTTATATCTTCATAGCAAAACATCTGAAAATTTATTTGATAATAGCGACGTGAATATATTTGAAATTAAGAGTCATGATGTATAATCTCTTTGGAAACAAAATAAGGGAACCAATCTAGACTGTAATTGAACTTTTGATACTAGAAAATATCTGTCACTGAAACAAATAAAAACACGCGTAAGGTTTTCATATTCTAATACAATGAACAAAGTTAATTACGCAAAAAAGTCTAGTACCCGATTGCAATACCCTAGCTTAGTGCAGTGATAATAAATTACTTTTTATCAATTTAGCTATTCGCAATTTTACCATACTGACCGTTGATGATGACAAAGAGTTTCGCCATAACAAAACGGGGTAAATGCATTTAGTGGCCAAACAAAATATTGCAACCCTGCTCAAAATGCTTTCGAAAACTTCATATCGAAAACCTTTTGTTCGTTATTTCATATTGGGATGATTGTGTATAAAAAATTCCGGAAGTATTAGTATGTTCGAATGGATAATGCGAGGGACGATTTAGATCTGAGAATGGCAGGAAAACTTACCATCATAGCAATTATCTTTAGAAGAGGGACAGAAGTCTTTGTTTGGGTTGCAAGTGTCCCAGTCGTTTACACACCAGGGCGAATCCGGACATCTATGCTGGTAGGGTGCACAATGGCACTTGTACGCGTTACACCCAAACAGCCAAAACCCATTGTCTACGTCGGAAACACAATAGCCAGGCTCCATCCACCAGCCAACAAGTAAAAGCAATATCGGTAATGTAGAAATCATTTTGATCATCGAGTATCGACTAGTTAAACAGCTGATTATCGCCATATACGCAGCTCATTTGATCCGATCAAGTATTTGACTAACATAAAAAAAGAACAGATATCCGAACAAACAATTGCTTTTCTCAAAATCTTGAATTCAGAAGTTGATTATTGATCTTCGACTACAGAAAAAAAAATCTGCAACTGCAATACGTAATCTAATACGTCAATAATTTGATCTCCTGAATTTGCACAGCCGGCGAAGTCTTGATAATGATCAAAATCTAAGCAAAATGGATGGAACAGCTGCTTCAGAAAAACCAAATCAACTCAAGTGTGACCAAATGGAGCTGTAAATCTGCGAAAAAATAAGAACACACCGCGCATATAAAACAAGCTACCATAAACGTGGTGTGTTTCTAAGCATGCTTAATCAGTTAATCACTTCAGTATCAAAATCAAGTTCAATGCACAGACGACTATCAGCGTTAAAAAATAGAACTAATTATTAGTTGATGTGAACAACTTTCATCACTGATGTGAAACTCCTTTTCCGTTCTCTTCTTAAGTCAGTCACCTTTGAATTTTAAAACTTTTTTGTATAATAGCTCAATTTGAATAGAAAAAAATCAGTATAAATTTGCAGTTGAAATCAGTTACAAAGACCAACTTTGATTGATAAATAAAAAGCAATCAATTTGTGTGAAAAATTGTCCAGATGCAGTGTAAAACTGTGAAATAACCACCGTTAGAATCTTCTCTATCATTTAACCTAGTTTCGATTTCGAACCAATGTACATATTTGTTTACAATTAATGCTAGTAGTTTCTGTTCTAATTTAAATTACTTGAGGTCCCTGAAAATTATTTAAAACTGATTTGCACAAAAGGGTGTTTGTAAATTGTAAGTGGTATCGAAACTATATTGTAAGTGAAATGAAGCTGGTTTTGATAGACCATTTATTTGGATTTAAGGAATATGATTGAAGCGTGGCAGCAATGCGAAGGAAATACACAGAGATAGGTATAAAAGATACTTCACCTTCAAATCAGATCACAGTTCCCTTTATTTATCAGTTAGAGATAGATGAAAATGTGCTGATAGAATTTTGGAACCCCCGGCTTCATATGTGAAAAACTAGCTCTTAGTTCAAAAACAACTAATCATATATGTTAACAAAAAAAATTTAAAAAAATGTGTTCTGACCGAAAAAAAACCTGCCAAAAGCCCCAATGAACAAATCGCACTAATACACTAGTTTAGTGTAAATAGAACGAGCAAGGATAAAGCCAGGGATTCGCATATTAAATATGCAGTCATAGCGTTTTCAATTTTTTATATCGTCTATCTTGATTTAGCTTCTGCTGGCTTGTCTATCCACGCCAGAAGGTACGACCACGTGTCTTTTCTGATTGGTCATCCGCGCCATTCTAGATCTCCTCTCCTTTTCAGTTTCATTCTGATTGGCTGCATCCGAAGCGTCGTACTCGCTTTTCCTGCTTCGACTTTCTCTCATTCCCGCATACCTTGAACGATGATTATATCAAAAATTCAATGATCAGATCTGTTTTAAAATATAATTCACACGAGATCAGAGTTACAAAAAATGTTCCAAAAGCATGTAAACTGGTTGTGTTGCAGGAGGTCCCAATAATTATGCGGTTACATGTCAGTATTTAGACAACCGCGTATTCAGACTGGTCAGTATTTAGACAAATACTGTTTCAACCAATCAGAATCGAGACAAAGAAGAAATTAATAAATAATTATTATTTATTTTGGATTATTTATGTCTTTTCTCGATTCTGATTGGTTCATACAGTATTTGTCTAAATACTGACGAGTATGAATACGCGGCTGTCTAAATACTGGCTGCACTCCTAATTATGCAGTGCAGAAAACATGCACAAATCCACTTCTCCAAAGACCTACTCCCCTAGCATATCGACTCCTCCGAGCTTGGCTCTCAAGATTTTTATGAATACCGAGTTGACGGCTGTTTTTTCTTCAAACGAGTATTACGATAAAAAACAATTTAGAGTAGCATTAGCGTTGAATCATTTTTAATCTTTACTATTTTCGTAATAAGTATCCTAGTTTTGAAAAATTCAAATTTCGTCTAAATTGTGCTATATATTCTACGGCTAATTTGCATGTCGTCTAAGTTCCTGTTTACGGGATGAAACCGAGGAATGATTAAACCTACAAATAACATTTGAGCGGTAATTTAAACAGAACATAGGTTGAATGCTAATTTGTGCAAGTTAGGTTGAAAAAAGTGAACTCGTATTACAAGACAAGCTTTTGGTAGTGTAATAACAAGAAATTTAAGTAAAAAGAATGAAAATATAACAATGATTTCGCTGTTCAAGGCAATCTTATGCTCAACTTTGGTGTAACTTTAGTCAGAAATAATCCAAAGCTGAGAGATCCCATGATAATTTTAACCCTTCCTTCCCTCAAAAAAGTCAATATCCTTCTCCTCGCAGGCTTATTTTCGAGCCCCTTAAATCACGCACCACAGTCTAAATTAGCCTGTTTTAGATATAGATCTTGTGATGTGGCAAATGAAATATTTTCGTACCGCTTCGTCATATAAGACTTGGGTCCTTGGTATTGTTTCACATTGGGGTTTTGAGTGGGCGTGTAGATTGCGGTGAAATGGACAAACACTGAGACAATTATGATTAGAGATATGGCTACCAGAATGATGGCCCACCAATACTGCAACGCAAAGTCAGACCACTTGTCTGCATTGAACAGCTGTGATATCAGCTTCAACAGAGCTCCCTCTTCTACAAACGACCTGCACCTGTGGTACACGTCACAATATCCGTCATTAGAACTACAAATATCGCCCTCTCCTATGTGCAGAGTGTCCGCCCACTGCTCTGGTGCGATCACATTAATGGGTTGGCAAATCCCAGCACCCGGATTCGCCTCTCGGCAACACACTACGCAGTTAACTTCCTTTGAGTTCTCTATTTCGTCGGCATCACACGAGCATTGTTCATAGTTCGTTCCAAGAGATAAACATGCACTTCCTACACAGTTGCCATCAACACACGATTTGGACCCATTGCTGCACAATTGGCCATTGTCTCTATTCTGTTTTTCAGGACACTTCGAGTTTGTTCCTCCGGGGCAACTCCTCGGAACTGCACATTCGTCACTCTGTCCGCACGGAACATTTGAGCCGAGAGGTTGACAGTCGGTGCTACAGCAGTCGTCGGCTGTCGGACTACAGCGCGCATTTCCATTCAACTTGCATTGTGTTGCTAAAATAGATACCGAAGTATTAGCTTCTGCATATGGCCACAATTAAGCAACGCATAAAATTTGCAAACAAAATTATAAATCGTTACTTTCCACCCACTGCAGAAGAATAAAGGGGACATCCCTAATGCGCGAAAATTTGGTCAGCCAATCATAATTCATAAATTCAAAGTAGATAATGATGAAATCTGCCAGTTCAGGACAGTTTCAAGAGCTTTGAATATTTTTGAGAATTTTCGCGCATTCGTTGATTAGCGCATGAGCCATAGCCCCTATAATGAAGCTCATAACAACATCTATTATCAAACAAACATGTGCCACCAGTATTTGATAAACTCTGCAAGAGAACAGAAAGTTTCATCTAACTCTACAAAACAGTTCCATTCCATGCCTTTTTTAGCTTCTTTTTTGTTTTCTATAAAAATTATTTAAAAAATGAAAGTTCCATTCCATGCCTTTTTTCAGCTACTTTTTTGTTTTCTATAAAAATTATTTTAAAAATTAAAGTTCCATTCCATACATTTTTCAGCTTCTTTTTTGTTTTCTATAAAAATGATTTAAAAAATGAAAGTTTGGATGTCGCTAAAACTTACTCTTATATCCAAAAGAGTATTCGTTCGAAAAAAATTATCTCAATGACCAGAACTATTTAGGGGAAGAGACATTTTTGGTAGACAAGCACTCACTTTGTCTAAAGGCACCTTGGGCGCCAGTATGCACTAGCCATTTTATTGTGTTTTTCAAAAACTCGCCGGCAACGTAGAAAAATTTCGTATACTAGATAGTTAAATGTTTAGTGAGAGCTGGGAAAAAAATTTGGTCGACCTAAATGTTCACCCTCTCTCTCTCTCTCTCTCTCTCTCTTCGAAAAAATCTGAGATCAAACAATGTCACTCAATAATCAAGCTAACTCAAAAATGCTTTAGAACCACAAGACTGTGTTTTCATTTGAAGTCACGCAAGGCAAAAAATGGCGATCTCTTGAGATCATTAATGACACAGAGGCCAAGCAGAGCTTCGCGACGCAACTCAAAAGTAGAACATAGCCAACAGAGTTGGAAAATGTTCAATGAACGCAAGAAAAAAACTGGCTTAATTTTTGACACAGAGGCGATGCTGAGCTTCGCATCACTTGCGATACAAAACAAGAAAAAAGTTTTTAAAAAATCGAAAAGATCGAAAAAACTAGATCTATTAAATGAATAAAGCTAGTTTTGAAACAAAAGCATGCCAAGACAAAAGAATGTGTAATGAGCATCGGAAGATAATGTACCCAGCGGTAAAAAAAAAGCCGAAGATACCTAGTCAGAAACCTTGTCAGAAGTCGAAAAAAATCAAGACCTCAAACTTCTGAAAGTTAAGTCCACATCACCCTCAAAACACTTTAATTGCTCGTCAAATGAAACATTATGAGCAAACTAAGACGATATAATATAGGGTGAAACCTATTCATCCAAAAAAAAAACAGCCGAAAAAAAATATAAAAAATTATGACTAATAAAAAGTTATCAAGTCCCCCATAACCTCAAAACAAAGACACGCACACACGAAACTTTTTTGGCTCGTCGAAAGATGCAATATGAGGCCAATAAACCGATATAATATAGGCCGAAATCTATCAAGTCAAAAAAATGGGGAAAAACCAAAAAATAATTACCATGAAAAACTAAACAAAAATTCTATTAGGAATTTTAGCATTTAAGGCAATCCAGAGATGAGCATGAAAAACGTATTTCCGTTGAAACGACTCAAAATTAGGTCACTAAGCCGATTAAAAAAAGGCCGATAACAAACAGAATGAAATCAGAACACTAAAGGCATATATAAGGTGAAAAAAAACTACAATATGGCAACTAAGCAGACAAAACATCAGCAGACAATCATCAGCCGACAATTTGTTTTGAAACGGACTATTTCCAGTTTGAAAAAAAATAGACCTGGTCACTTTCGAACCCAGGACCTTTGTCGTCCCAGGCGTATTCGTTACCACCAGACTAAGTGCGCCGGAGACGCTCAGAAATTTGATTTCTTATGAAACAAGATATCAATTGATTCAAGTGATTCTGTTAAACTAGTTTTAACCCGAAAAAAGGTCTACATTCCAGTTTGATGACGCTTGCTTATCATCTTTAAAAAAATCTCAACTTTCGAACTTCGAAAAAAAATACCAGGCCTTGCAGCACTACAAACTTCTGAAACAATTTATGATAGACACTTTTCTGATAAAAAAATAACCATCTGTAAGAAAATTGGATCAATAAGTAAATTTTGTTTTCTGCTAAGAAATTAAAATCCACTTTCGAAATGGGGAGTTGATTTTGATTTTCGTGACCTTTACACTTTTTCTGCTCGATAATGAGTTTGCCTTCCTTTTCATAAAAAAATGAACTGAACTGTATTTAAAAAAACCAAAAATCAATCCGCTAAAAAAATCAAATTTGAGACTGAACAAATTTGGTTATTTTCCTGAAAAAAAAAGAACAAAAACAGCATCAAGATCTAATTAAGAGTCTTCACCACGTTCATCGACTCTTAAAAATGCGTCGAAGGACAGTATTTCCGAAAAAAAACTGCATTGAAAATCCTAAAAACTTCATACGTTTGTCTCGGATGATGTTAGTTTTTAGGAACACATACTAAGAAACAGCCGACAGCGTTATACAACTATTCAGAAAAACATATGGGACGTCATCTAAGCCGACAAAACTTGGGTAGACAATCGTTGAACAAAAAAACCATTAAATGTTTAAGGCTATAAAAATTTGCAACTCTAAGATTTAACCCCTCCCGAAACACACGAAACCCAAAAAATATAATTTTAATCTGAAACAACGCAAAATTAGGTGAATAATTCAATACAAAAAAAAATATCACATTTCAGCAAAGCATTTAAGCGGAATAAACTTTCTGAGCAAAAACCGTAAAGAGGATAACGCAAAAAATCTATGTTCCTGTTTATTCACGATAATCACAAGCTTAATAAATACAGCAGGTAACACAGCCAAAATAACAAAGGTTTCGACGAAAAGTAAAAGAGGGTGATTTCGGTATTTCAAAACTTCTTGGTAAAGACAAACTGTTTTCAATAAATCTAACAAAATTTAACAGTAAAAATGTTTAGAAAATAAGCGCATAGAATTAAAGCTGACTGTCCTCAATGACCAAATACTTACAACCATTTTCGGGTTCGATAAATATTATTTCGCAACACTGAACGTGCACCCAAGGCATATATGCAGCCAATACATTAACCGTGCTATTTATTCAGAGGTTATAAAATATACTGACAGCCGTTTTTCAAAGTCTAGTACCCGCTTGCAACACCCTTGCTTATCGAAAGAGTAACTATTACAAATGAGATGCAAGCTTTGAGTAAGCATTTGATTTATAAATGAGTACACATTTCAAAACATGCTTTAGCTACGGAAATGTAGCACTTAATTATGTAAGCATAAAACATCTAAGCAAATTTGAACAGCAGTATTTCAATTGACAACAGATGAATCGGTTGGCTTCGCGAAGCTTAATCGGAGCTCGTCCAATATCTTAAGTGCATCTTTTGTTTGAATCAAATCATAGGAGAATGAACTTGAAGGGTTATGCTTCGGTTCACCTTCGCCGATATTTTATTTTGGTTACTTGCCTTCATTCTCTTAAACATCAAAATAGATATAACTGATCTTTTAAGTTTTATTTTTTATTTAGTTGAAGTAAATAGATGCAAGCTTGTTTCAAACCCAAATTTCCAGCTAATTTCGCATCCTAATAGAATGATAAACTCACCCTTGAACTCGGCAAAAGCAGGCTGACAACACTTGTCGTAACACTTGCCATCGGGATCAGCGAAGCCACAATCGCAGTCCTCGTCTCCCTCCACCACATTGTTGCCGCAAAACTCTCCTTTCGGCTGGACGAAACACGCACTCGATCCACTTTCTTCCAGATGCCGTCCGATCTCCTCTCTGGAACAGGGGGAGAATAGGATGTTGTTGTCGTAGGAACCCGGCTGGGAGCTCGGGTGCATTAAGTAGTTTCCTTCCGTGCCACCGGGCATGCATGCTCCGTCGGAGTCGTGTGACGCCCCGTACGAGTGACCTGCCTCATGAGCGAAGGTGAGAGATACTAACAACTTGGATCTTCGCTCACCTTGAAGCTTCATTGTCACCACACCTTGTCGATACAGTTTGCAGATACCTGCAAATTCAAAAACTTACGAATATTTGTAATATATAATCCATTGTGCTGTGCTACAAACCAAACTTCAACTGGAACTTTGCAAAAATGTTCTCAACCTAATTAAGTTTCTCATATTGATGTATTTGAAAAGCGAATCACGAACGAAACTTACCCCCATAAGTTCCTGAAACAAAAAAGGCGTCACACCAATGAACTAATCTGAGAAAATGATGATTTATTTGATGGTACATGAAGATGAACAAACCTCCAGTGTAAGCTTCACCCAAAACATTGTCAAAATCGCGATCGGTGAACGCAAACACCAAACAGTAGTCACTGTTCCAATCGCGAGTATTTCTACTTTTCTCCGAAAGAGCTCTCAGGAAATCTCCTGAGCCCACATTTTCGCCCAAATTTTTGAACGGATAGTCATCGTCGTTAACTCTGTCTTCAGTGAATATTTCGAACCTTCCAATTGTTATTGCGTAGCCTTTTTTCCCATCGAAAACTGTGTTTTCAAAAATGTTATCGGCCTCTTTAACGAAATATGAAACTGCATGGGTGATATCGTTGAAATTATCGTTATATGCTTTGCTAAACTTATGATCAACGACCACTAATATTTCACACGTGTTATGACTAGGAGCTGACGTTACGGTGTCTCTTTGGGGCCGGTCAAATTTGAAATCCTGAGGCAGCCTTTTTTCTCCCCCGCTGTTGCCGCATAGCCCGTTGAAGTTCACAGGACTCAGATCTGTTTCTTTGAAAGCAACAGTTGGACTCCGCTCTTTGACATCCTCGTCCAAATCTTTTCCAAAAATTACTTCGGTAGATTCCAGAATCCACGTCACATTTCTGATCGTCACGTGACCTTCGAAGTTTCCCTTGGAGTTTATGAAGCCACTAACTGACGATTTCGATGCCAGTCCGGATACGAAACCAGAGTAGAACCTGTCCACGTCTACTCGCTTTCCATTCACAGTTACGTTGTTATGGCGTCTCACCGGCGGCTGGACTTTAGTGAGTAGCAGCGAGTAAGGATTTCCAGAGAGGACCAACCGAATGACCAAATCATCGTCCAAGTGGTCAGCGGATGCAGTGTACATCGCACTACGTCTTGAGTGTCGTGAGTTGAAGGTGTAGCTAATTCTATCGGAAGTCAGCTCTTCGTATTTCTCTATCAATTTGTTCCCAGATACAAGTTGCATGCTGATACCATGTGCCAGGATACAAACGAAAACGCTAAGCCGATCTACCCTATATAAGTGCATTGTGAACCTGGAAGTAGTCAACAAGGAAACAAAAGGCAAAACGTCAAGAAGATCTGGTTGCTGAGCAAGTAGCACAGAAGGTTCAGACCACAGACTGTTGTACAAAAAAATTTGCCATTGATTTTATCAACGTGTATAACAATCAATTTAGCAACGCCAGCTTAAAACTTGAGTCAATCCTCTCACGACTAAAACAGCTTTAATATGACAAATATGTCTCTCCTATTCGAACAACCGGCAGATAGCTACCGAGTGCATGGATTTACAAGTAAGTCACCTACTCCGCAAGAACTGAACTATTGACTTCAACGTAAAACAAAAACGATAAAACATAACGATACTAAAGAAAACAAAGAAAAAAAAACAGTTAAAAAAGTGTCAAGGAACTCGTGTACAACAGACAAACGGATTATTTTTTTTTTAATATTTCGAATTCAAAGAAAAATATTTAACACTCAGAAGCTCATCCCATTTAAGGAAAAGTGGTTCAATAAGTATTTTTATTGAGCTGGGAATTCACAAAATTGAAGTACACAAAAATTTTTGACTCTTTTAATTTCTCGCAATCCGAATCACTGCCCATAGGGGTTTAAAATAATCCACATTCGCCCCCTTTGAACTTTCCTTCAGATACCTAAAATTGCACGGAAAACACCATTAGCTGACCCATAGTTCCCTCCCGTCACTTCAGTATCATGGTCGGAATAAAACTGGATCAGCAGGCATACTTTTTTCAGCTAGGGAATATAAATTTCGTTTAAAAACCGTTTTTGAAACTAAAACATTTTCACTTTTTATCACGCCATTTGCAAATTGTTTTGAAGAGCGTAAGTTATCTTCCTTTATTTCAATTGAAAATAAATTTCAATTGAAACTAAAATCATGAAACACTTTGAACTATAAATTATATTCCAAAACTTATAGAATTTTGTGCGACCCAGAAGTGAGCACTTCAAATGAGTTTCCATCGAAACAACCCAAAAATTAGGTCACGATAAAATATAGGCCGAAAGTATTTGGACCGAATCAAGTTTCTAAGCAAAGAAAAAAAAGTAAACAACAAAAAAAGCGAAATACGAAGTCAAAGTAAGTAAAATTTCAGATTGCAGGAGTAAATCTAAAGCAACTACAATAAAATTGCGTACAGTAAAAAAATCGAAAGGAAGACAGGCAACTAAGCTGACAAACCTAAGCAGACAAATAGGCCGACAAGTTTATTTGAAACAGAATATTTTTAGTTTGAAAAAAAAGAGGTCCTGATCGGATTCGAATCCGGAACCTTTGCCGTCACAGGCGTATTCTTTACCTCCAGGCTATGTCTGGCAACATTCTGAATTCGAAACATGAGCCAGACGTTGAGCTATGAAAAATGAACTTTATATCTTCAAAATTATTTAAATCAAATAACTTTTCTGAAAAATTTCTTTTTGAAAAATCGCGCCCCTCCTTTAAATTGATATACCACTTTCAGAAAAAAAAACAGGGTTGATCAGCCACAGCCACAAATAACAGTCGTTAAAGACTACCAAAAGGTAGTTCCTTTTGAGCTTACATTACTCTGTTCTACTGAAATATGAACTCACGCTCAAATTTGAACCACATGAGCTAGTTCATATAATGAAACAGGTGGCACGCCTGCCGTAGACGCTAAGAATATCAAATTCATTAAAACCAATGAACCATCAGGAGATGAGTCCTGTGAACAAAGTTGGTTACGGAAAAAAGTCTAGCACCAGGTTGCAAAACCCTTGTTAATCATCGCAAAGGTAAGTAACCAAAAGTTAAACAGCAAAAAGAACATGAAATTTGAGGTTGAACATATTTTAGAACTTTTTTCCTAAAAAATCTCCAAGACCTAAATAAGCGTTTTCACCTCGTTCATTGAAACTTAAACCCATTTCAGTACAATAGTTTTGTAGTGTTCTGAATAAAAACAGCATTTAGAAATAAGTAATTTGATAACGATTCGCCTTCAAAATAGCATACAGTATTATTATTGAAATGAATAATTTATGATATATCGTTTTCCACTCACTTCAATCAATAATTTTTCGCAACGAGCAAGTTAATGGCAGTTTCAAATTCAGACTTCAAATCCAGATTAACGAAATACAACATAAATACTTGGAAATTTTAAATTCATATCGCAACATAAATTTAAGCTTTAACGTGAGAAAAATAACAAATGATCGACACAACAGCGTTATCAACTGAAAAATAGCTGAAAAGAGAAAAGACATAAAACCAGTTTTGCTGAAAAAGAGTAAAATTGACTTGATTCAACAGGAAATTTAATCCAATTACATTCTCATTTATTTCTACGACTCCCCTTAAATATATTCTGATTCACGTCGTTGATTCGTGATCGCCAATCAGCTCATGATCGAAATCTTCAATTTCTTCCTCGTAATCCGAGGATGATTCGGATCCTACGAAGTCCACATCATCCTCTACAGAGTCTTGTTCGAGCGTTTCATCAGCCCTCGGGTCTTTGCCGTTTGTCAAACTGGGCAATGAGTCGGCCACACTTTCGCCCGTTTCCGATTCCTCGTCGTCAGAGTCAAAATTCTGCTGAACAAACAGAAGCTCGTTTTTACTCAACCCGTACTCTTTCAGAGTCTGATCCATTTCTGAACCAGATGAGGCCTCAGGATTTGGCAGACACTTTCTGGGAAACGATTTCATGATGTCGAATTTAGGTGGACAGCACTCTTGGCAAAATACAAAATTTCTCAGCAGCGCCAAAGTGTCTTGCGTACAGAATACTCTGTTTATTCTTTCACCAGAAGGCATCTTGAAGGCCAGAGGAAGTGCATCTGGATTACCTGATTCAGGTTCCGCTGGGAAAGATTCTCTGATCGTACGTTTTAGGAGTTTAGTTTCCGCTTTTTTCATCTTCTTCTCTTGTTTTTGTTTGAGTATTGCGTCCTCCTGTTCTTTACGCATTCGGTTTTCTTCCTCCTTTTGCTTAGCCTTTTCACGGTCTCTTTTCAAAGACTCTTGATAAGCATCATCTTGCTGGTCTCTGAGAAGCCTGCTCAGATTCCTATCATCTGCTTCACTCCTCGCTGCTCTGACATATGAGGTGTTGTCGTTTATGATCCTTCTAATTCTCTGTAAAAACGCTTCTCCGCTTTGCGCGCCTTCAATTCGACCGACGACTGTCAGTCTGTTATCTCGAAGACAAACTACCGCCACAAACGGCTCGTATCTGCTCCTGAAAATCTTCGAAACTCGATACCCCTCCGGACTCTCGACTGAGCAGGCCCAGAACAACGCATTATTGCTGATAAACTCATAAACGTCTGGGTTCACTAAACAAGCGGTGTTGAATAGTGTGCAATCTTCAGAACTGAAATTAGCTAAATACACAATTAGGAATCTAAATTCACTTTTTGATTTCTGCATCACCTGGCTAAACGTCATCCGTTCGAAGTGTGGGTGCATAAACCCATATGAACTTTCAAATTTCTCAATGAAAGACCTGACATCGCCATATGGATCTGTGATTCGACTTCGCGGATCGGGAACGAAAAAACGATAAAAGAAAACGAATACATCAAACACAGTTGAAAATGTGAAGCGAAAAGGAAAAGCGAAGAGCCACTTGAGCCATGTGATCCAATTGACCGGTCTCCTAATAGCACTTGCATAGTAAATTCGTTGATTAGGGTGGAAAATATTGACGGCGATGGGGCGAGTCAGTTCTCTCACTTGATCTTGTGGTGATTGAAACTGTCCACTGTGTTGGATTACTGGTGCTCGTCCCTCATTCTGGTTGAACTGGTCCTGGACTGCTATTTCTAAATTCCAGTTGTAAGATTCCAGCAGCTCCTTGCATCGTCCCATGCTATCGATACCTGTAAGGTCCTGAAATTGCAGAAGCATTTCTGTCTTTTCAGAAGACAGATCATCCATTGTGACTAAATCTGAAAAGCAGCGGCAAAATGTTGTACATTTTTAACAGATATTACCTGTGTAGAAAACTTGAAAACAACTCCTTGTGCACTGTGAAAAGAATAAACATATAAGCTATCCTTTATTTATGGCAGAAGGAAACTGTACATAATCTGGTAAATTGAAAAATAGAATCAAGAATTTGGCATGAAAAATAGCATTTATCTAGATAACAAATTAACATTTTTGCCCAAAGTTTCACTCAAGTCCGGCAGCTGGAATTAATCCATTTTTAGCCGGTTCAATCAAAAAGTTTATTATATTCTTCATGTGCATTTTGAGAAACATCTGAGCATCCTCCTTATTGTCAAACTTCTTACTTTTGTCATAAAACTCAGAGTAAAACTTGATTTTCGGTTCAGTTCCCGATGTTCTCACGGTCAGCACAATCCCATTGGAAAGATAGAAGGTGATCATTTGGCTCGATTTTGAAGTAGGAAGAATCGGTGTGTACTCCGGTTGAGATGAATCTATCCCAGCTGTCAAATCTCGGAAGCTCTCAAGAGGAATTCCATTCAGAAACTTAGGATATTTGTCAGCAATGTTTTCCTCATCACTTTCAAAATTCCGAATTCGCTCAAAAATACTATTAATTACTTTGCTATCATAGCAGAAGTAGTAAGAATTATGAGTCACATGCGAACCATACTTTCGATATATCTCATTCAACTTCTGCACCAGATTCGAGTTGGATGCATAGAGGTAGTGAACTAGTTGAGCAACAACATAAGCCGCACTTACACCGTCTTTATCCAAAACTGTTGAGCCGCACATGTAACCAATTGCCTCTTCAAAAGCAAACAGGACAGTTTTTCCCTCTTTTATTAATTGATCCGCCCTATTGCCCATCCATTTGAACCCAGTCAAAGTTTCCTCAAACCTAAACCCTTCCACTTCCGCCATCGTTTTCAAAATACGAGAAGAAACGGTGCTCGAAAGCATGTAACAACCGTCTAAGTGTGCCACTTCATCGTTTCTATCAATCCTCGCCTTGTGATTTTCCAGAAGCCACCAGCCAATCAAGGTTCCCAGTTCATTTCCAGACAGAACTTTCCACGTGCCAGGGGATAACTTCTCAGCAACTGCCAGTCTGTCTGCATCCGGGTCGTTGGCAAGGATCACTGAACTTCCCTTTTCATTGGCAGTCTTGATAGACAAATCCAACGCCGCCTTGCCTTCCTCTGGATTCGGATATTTCACAGTCGGGAATTCCGGATCTGGTTCGCATTGTTCTTCCACAGGCACAACACTCGGAAGCCCCATTTTCTCGAAGGCCGCCCTAACAAACTTGTAACCTACACCATGCATCGCAGTATACGTTATGATAGCATCAGAAATGGCTGTGAATAAAGGCATTTTGAGGCGACAAAGTTCATTTTGGTAATCTTCTGAACAAGTTTCATCTATTTCCAAAAGTTTGCCAGTTTTCTCATTGCTGGATATTACGTCATCATAGCTCCAAGGATCATCGTGTTTATTGGGTCCTGAGAAGTCAGCAATTAAAGTAGATCATTTCACGCAGAGGCGAAGCGGAACTTCGCATCTCTTCCGACACAACGAAAGCGTACAATTGCAAGCTACAAATGGTAAGTGTGACGGAAATATATAAGAAAAAAAAACTCGAAAAAACTGAAAATACGAAAAACTCAACCACAGAAAAAACCGACGAGAAACCCAACCACTACCAATAAGCAAGCTTTTAGTATTTATCGAGCGTCCACTTAGCCACAACATGTGGTTAAACGCCAATTAATCCGAAAACAAAAATAACAAAAGAAATGCAAAATAAGTTCACCAATTCGACTAAACAGAGCTGTAAAATTAAGGCCGAATTAAATTTCTGAGCGGAAAAAAACACAAAAACTGTACCAGTCAAGTATGGTAATTTTGCAAAAAAAACTACAGGAGTTAATCAACGCGGCTAGAGACTACAATAAAAACAGATCATAGCGCCAAAAAAATGTGGAGTGGCAACTAACCCGACAAACTAATCTGACTAATCAATTTTTCCCGGAAAAAATTTCAATTTCAGACACTGAAAAAAACGTCCGGCCGGGACTCAAAACCCTGACCTAAGGCTTTAAAGGCAACTGCATTACTTTCAGGCCAATTACGATGGGCCCTGGAAGTTAAAATGGTTCGGTAATGAAGCAATCAATTTCAATTACAAATGTGTGAGAAAAGTTTTTTTTTACGAAAAGTTTAGTTTCTGATTACAAGAAACTCGCTCACGAATTTCTAAGAATTAGATATTACATCAAAGAACAAAAAAAACACTTACAGTTACAATAAAAATATCATACAACACAAGAAAGTTTAAAAAGAATGTAGGAACGAAGTCGACAAATCACAAGCCGACAACACATAGGCTGATCATTTTTGATACTAAATAGTTTGGGTTTTAAAAACGTGCTGATCGGATTCAAGCGTAGTTTCTCAACCGTTTACTAGTTGTCTTACTCAGTCGTTAAATTTGAATTTTCAAGAAATTGAGCATGTTTGCTGAACAAATTATTGAATGCTGGACAAATGATTCAGTGATTTTGTTAAACTAATTTTTAACCCAAAAAATTATATATTACGATTTGATAACGCTTACTAATCGCAAGAGTAATAAAAACAAAAGGAGTTGGCGACTGCAAAAATTGCATAAGATTTCTTTTGCTGAACATTTCATACCTAGTCGACTAGCTACTCTGTGCAGCATTGGCTGTATTTAAAATGCTTAATATCGTAGGTTAAAATCAAAAACTGGTGGTCATAGTTTAAATTTCCTCAGAATTTCCTATTTGTACATGAATTGCAACAGATGGCGAAAAGAAGGTTTTTCTACAATAGCAAAAAATATATATCCATGTTAGACGAAACGTGTAGTATTGAAATCGCAATGTACTGCGGAAAAAAAATTGTCTGCCAACATTGAAATGTATGACTCAAACTATCCACTCTATGACTCGGATACCGTTAAAAACCTAACTCACGTATAATGATATACCAAAATGAAATGAGAAAACAAAATTGACAGAGAGGCGAAGTTACACTTCGCATACACAAGCTAAAATATGGCCGATGACGCTAGTGGGAAAAACTGAATGAGTAAAACTTTGAGTCTACAAATTTTCTGAAGTGACGCAAGTGAAATCGCAATGTACTGCGAAAAAAAAATTGTCTGCCAACATTGAAATGTATGACTCAAACTATCCACTCTATGACTCGGATACCGTTAAAAACCTAACTCACGTATAATGATATACCAAAATGAAATGAGAAAACAAAATTGACACAGAGGCGAAGTTACACTTCGCATACACAAGCTAAAATATGGCCGATGACGCTAGTGGGAAAAACTGAATGAGTAAAACTTTGAGTCTACAAATTTTCTGAAGTGACGCAAGTGAAATCGCAATGTACTGCGAAAAAAAATTGTCTGCCAACATTGAAATGTATGACTCAAACTATCCACTCTATGACTCGGATACCGTTAAAAACCTAACTCACGTATAATGATATACCAAAATGAAATGAGAAAACAAAATTGACACAGAGGCGAAGTTACACTTCGCATACACAAGCAAAAATATGGCCGATGACGCTAGTGGGAAAAACTGAATGAGTAAAACTTTGAGTCTACAAATTTTCTGAAGTGACGCATTAGCAGTACCAGTCAATTTGGAAAAAAAAGAAATTTACCTACTAACCCGCCTCAATTTATAGAGCGACGCATTTTAACTAGCATACGAAAGTTTCGACAAAAAAGCCGACGCTACCCAGGATCGAACCGTCTTATTTTGTTGCGGCTTTCCTTCCCTACCTCTACGCTACAGTTCCATGATACCTTGAAGCTTACGTGCTATTTGTAATATGATAGTCTGTGTTAATATCCTTACGATTGGCTGTACCTAATAGATGGTTATTGATCAAAATGAACACATTTTGTCGCAACGATATTTGCGTCGCAACAAAATTTGCGACTCAAGTTGGAAAAAAAGAAATTATATACTATAACACAGGTTTTGCTTGTGTAATCATCAAAAGCTATTGAATACTACTTAAACTTGAAGGCATTTATATTTACAAAAATCTCATGAAAACACTAATGAATAAATAAGATAAAAAAATTTACCTTGATTTTGCGGTTTCAATGAAACATAAGACGAATCATAGCACGTGGATGAGCCCCTGATATCAGCTTACCATAATTGAAATTAAAAGCTACAAAATAGAAAAGTGCTAGAAAAATATAAGAACTGGCTTTTTAGTTAAAAAAAATCGAATGTGAAGCCCTTTCAGGCCTTAAATTGAACTCTCGCAAGTACCTTAAATGATTTTAAAAAAATACCCAGATGAGACCAATTAAAACTTTTTAGCACAGACGAAACGGAGCTTGGCGACATATGAAATCCAAAAACAACAAATAGTGACTCGAGAAAATATGAATATCAGAAATCTAGATCCATCCGGATTCAGTGGAATTAACCATCAGGATTTCAGCATTAACTTCCTACTGCCGGAATTAACTTCCAACTGTAGTGCATTAACCACAACATCACAGAGGCCTGACTAACGGCAGACGCTCTAAAAACATAACAGGTAGAATCAATTACAATTTGTAAGACGATAGAGCTCAAGCTGCTCAAATATGACAAAATTTGGAACAAAAATTAGCTTAAAAAAAATAAAAAAAACTGTCGTCTTTTATTAAAGTAACAACTCATACAAAAACACACATACTACATCTATAATGACACATAAATTTGATAGACAACAAAGGTAGAACTTTGAAAAATATAAATACTTTTATTGCTGACCACTCTTGAAAGGTTCTAGGTTCTGTTCAATTTGATCTTGTATCATCTTGTCAACCGGTGAGACTATCTGAGCTCCGCTGCTCCAATATAACTTGTAACCATTGTCTTCTTTTGGATTGTGAGAAGCTGTTATCATTATACCTGCTACATGCTTATAATTTCTTACACTATAGGCAACATATGGCGTGGGAGCATACTCCTTAAGCAGATATACTGGTATACTAGAAAGTAGAAGAACTGCCGCAGCTAGTTTCGCAAATCGTTCACTATTGTGACGCTTGTCAAAACCAATGACAGCGCCCTTGGAAATTTGATCCGGACTAAATTCGTTTTTCAAAACACAAGCAACTCCTTGGGTTGTTTGAATAATGACTAAATCATTCAGCTGAGAGAAACCTGGGCCCATACGTGCTCTCAGACCAGCTGTTCCGAATTGAATTCTTTTACTCATCAATCGTTTCAGCTCGTTTTTGTCCTCCACGGCCTGAAGTTGCATTATCTCTTTTTTTGTTTCCGGATTTTCGTCCCAATCCAACCAATTCTTTACCAAACATTTCAGCTGGCTGTCGATGTCATTCATCTTTTTCTGGAAGCAAAAAACTTTATTTGCAATAGTTAATGAAAAAAACCTCAGAAAAAAGCTATCAGGCAAAATATCTGACATAGACGAAGCTGAGCTTCGCACCACATGCTATTCAGAAATTCAACAAGCCGGGAAAAATGAAAAAAACGCCAAAAACATCACTCAACATTTTAATTATTTTGTAAACCGAACTGAACCTCTGTAAAATTAACAAAAAACTGAGACCAATTCAAAGCGTATTCAATTCGAAAAGTATTTTAAATATTGAAATTTGCTGTTTTCCGACTTAGCTATTGCACGGACGCACACGCGCTTAGTAATACCCGCCTCATACTACAGTACGTTTCTCGAAAACGATTCTAGTTCTAATTTCATTGAAAAACTACCAGCTTCAAATGAGCATTTTCCAAAGATTTACCAAGCGCTAACTATGCAGACAAAACTTGGGTAGACGCCCAATGAGCCCGTTAAAAATGGCCAAAAGGAAATAAACCCAAATATGGGACTTTTATGTGCTTGCACCAATTTTAACAAATTTTTTCAAACAAAATGAGGCTTAAGACAAGTTATTCGGAAATAATCCAGACAAACAAGGACAAAAAAAATCCAGAAGACTACTACTACTACGAAAAGACTTATTCCCTAATAATGGGCAATGACAAAAAAAGTAAGAACAGATTTAAGCGCGACAAGAAAAATAAAGCTTAAATTAGAATCAGTCAGTTTGTTGAATAACCAAGTTTCTAGATGTTTGCATTCTCCACTGTTTGCGTTCAAGTTTGTGTTCTCCACTGTTCAACAAAAACAGCTTCCCCATGAGGTAATCTTGCGGACTTTCGGTAGCGCTAACACATTGGTATAATAATAATAATAATAATAATGACAAAGGATTTAGGAATATAATCCAAGGGTTCGCATAAAACCCAGTCATTGCATTGTTCAAAGTTAAGTTTTCAGTTATAGTGTAAGTTTCTTCAGGTCTCTACAGTTGTTGCATTCGCATAAAATGCGCCAAGTGCATGTGTCTGATTCGTTGTAGCGAGTTTTGAAAAACTTTGTGTACATTTCTAAGAGTCTGTTTTCGCATTCTGGGTCAAACAATATGTCACATTTGAAGTATTCGTTGTACAGATTAGCAAGACGACATGCCCAAAACCAGAAATCCGACTCGCACTTCTTCAGACGCATTTGTTTGCAGACGAAATTTCTTGTCATTTGAGCTCTTCGGTTTCTAACGTCAGTGATGCTTACATGGCTTCTCCAGTCGATGTCAACTTTTCCAGCTAGTATTTTTGCAAACAGCAGTCCAACATTAAGCTCTTGGTATAGAGACAAAGGAAGGATGTTAAGTTTCACGAGTTTGTCTTGATAGGAGATATGGCTATTGCTTGTCATGAAAATCCACGAGATCGCTTTCCGCTGCACACTTTCTATGATTCCTAAGTCACCTTTTGATGATTTCCAGATAGCTGAACCGTAGCACAGAATTGGCACAACGTAACAGATATATGCGTTTTTGAGAGATTCCTTTTGCGTACGAAGAGAAAGTTTAAGGCTTTTGCAGCCCTCTTTTTTGCGTGTTGCGTCCTAGAGCGTGTCGTTTATCAGGATGCCCAGATCTTTCATTACTTCAGTGGTATCGAAGCTGTAACTGGGGAGTGCAATCGTAGCTGATCCTTTGATGCAGAGGACTTTACTTTTCGTCAGGTTCATTGACATGCAGTTTTCCTCGCACCACCTCCAAAGTCTCCTAACATCTATGTTGAGAGTTAAAGGGTTGTCTCCAACAATTTTGTAGTCGTCTGCACAACCAAATGTTGCGGACATGACACATGACAGTAGATCATTTATGAAGACTAGGAAGAGAAGCGGCCCGAGTATAGAGCCCTGGGGAACGCCGCTAGACCGATTACCCGCTCTTGAGTTATGAAAAGAAGCATGATTAAAAAAATTAAAATCATAACGGTTTTGCAGAAATTTGCTGAAAAGAACAAGATCGTTCAGAAAAATTTGATAGCAAATGGGTGAAATACGTGAAGTCAAAATACCAGCAACATGACTGTCCCTCCCAGCAACCCATTTGACAGCTTTCTTGTGAAGGTTTTCCAATTTTTGAGCGAAGTCACATTAGGGTTCCATATACATGAATTATACAGAAAAAAATTCTAAACACAGGCAACATACACATATAATTTGATCTTTACCGGAGCGCTAAAAGGAACAGTCCATTTGATATAAAGAAAGCTGAGTAAGCTTTTTCCCAACTTAATATTGATATGGTTGTTCAGATTAAGGTCTGGAATTATATTGACACCCAAATCATTAACCGAATTAGACAACGTTAGGGCAGTATGATAAACACAAAACTGACTATTTGTAACAATTATGAGTAACACAGTTTTGCTGGGCTGAAGGTTAAAACATTTTCCTTGACCCAATTAGCAACTGAGTTTTTATCAGTTTGGAATAACTCGTTACTACACTTTGAAAATAGTTTTAGATCGTCTGCAAAAAGGTAAAATTTGGAGGACTTTAAACAATTAAGTAAGTCATTCATAAAAATTGAAATTAAATGAAGGGCTCTAATTACTTCCCAGTGGTACACCACTGGCAACAGCACTACAGGACGAAAGAGATGTATTAATGCAGACTCCCCGAGTCCGACCTGAAAGATACGAAGAAAGTAACTCAAAAAACGCATCATCAAATCCAAAAACGGGTAATTTGAATCGTAACTCAACGTGTGAAACGGCGTCTAGAATTACACACATCAATTATACTGCCAGATTTGAAAAAGTTATGAAACGCTTGTTTCCAAATTTTTGGCCAAAGACGCGTAGATATAATTCAAGGAAAAGAACTTATACAAGGTACGCTAAAATTTTGGCACAGATTTTGATGATAAAAGGCGCGTTAGCATGGGCTGGAACGGAGGCAGTGTCCGGAATTTTCTTTAAGAGCAGTTCAACATCACTGGAACTAAAATTGATTTCATCCAATTCCCTGAGAGCGATGGAGCGTAGAAAAAGTACCCATTGACGACTGGCTGACGTCAGTTACCTTACTTCTACTCGTTTTTAACCTTCTGCACTTAGCCAGTTGTTTTTCTGGTCTGTTAAAGGCAAAGTAAAAAACTTACTAATTTTAGGCCATCAGCCAAACGACTTTGATCAGCTTTCGTTCACATGCAAAAATATCCAAATAGCTGGGTCTCGGATCCCCAGACTACGTGATTACTGTTGAAAACATGGCTCGAAAACTTCAATTTACTATGTTTTAATAGTAAATCCATTAGATCTTTAGTTGAATTGCCTGTGGCGATGTTATGCATATGACAGAAACATGCACTGAAATATCTGAAACTGCCATCCTTGGAATTTCGGAGATCAGTCAGAACGTCCTCCTGCTCTGTAACTGTTGTGTTGGAACAATAGGAAAGAGTCGATGATCAACGATTTGATGCAAACCCGCCCATCCATTGCCGAAACAAAAATAAATGAAATCGCCGAACAATTCTCTCCATTTAAAAAAGAGATAGATTCACTTAAGCAAAAAATAGATGAAACAAACAAAAAACCACAAACAGAAATGAGCCCAAGCAACATGCCTTAAACAAACCAGAATCAAGTTATAACGGAATCCGGATAAAAGGATTAGTTGAACTGGACTCAAAAAATTCAAGAGATAGACACGAATACTACTTGGAAGAGGTGAATAAACTGTTTGCGTTCTTAACAGTTGAAGCAAAAATCACAGATTTAAAACGTTTAGGAAAATATGAAGAAGGAAAAAGGCCACGCACGGTAGTCGTAAAAGTATCAAATGAATTGCAAAAACGACTGATACTAATGTCCCTGGCAAAATTGAAAAACTACGACAAAACTCTATTTGTGTCAAAAGAGCTCAGCCCAATTGAATTTCTAATTGAGAACAAACTTCTTAGGAAAAAACGAACAATGATAGAAATTGGCGTATCAGCTAAAAACCTAAGGCTAAGGGACCTTGTTCTTTTAAAAATTAAAAATTTTATGCCTAAACGTCAGAAGTATTTTAGACATCAGCAGAAGAACAGCTTTTTCAAATGCTCTAACTAAAAAGAAATGAGCCAAAGCAACATGCCTTAAGCAAACCAGAATCAAGCTATAACGGAATCCGGATAAAAGGAATGCTTGAACTGAACTCAAAAAATTCAGGAGATAGACACGAACACGACTTGGAAGAGGTGAATAAACAGTTGAAGCAAAAATCACAGATTTATAACTTTTAGGAAAATATGAAGAAGGAAAAAGGCCACACACAGTAGTCGTAAATATATCAAATGAATTGCAAAAACGACTGATACTAATGTCCCTGGCAAAACTGAAAAAATACGACAAAACTCTTTTTGTGTCAAAAAAGCTCAGCCCAAGTGATTTTCTGATTGATAACAAACTTCTTATGAAAAGACGAACAATGATAGAAATTGGCGTATCAGCTAAAAATCTAAGGCTCAGGGACATTGTCCTTTACCAATATGAAGAAGAAAAGGGAAATTGGAAAAAAGTCGAAGAAAGCAATTGACTACCTACTGCTAAGTATTTTAAAAAATTATGCCTAAATGTCAGAGGTATTTTAGACATCAACAGAAGAACAGCTCTATCAAATGCCATTTTACAAACAGACTACGATATACTATGTTTCACAGCGACATGGCTGGTAAAGGAAATACCAGATAAAGCTCTGCATTTGACTGGTTTCAATATAATTCGCAAAGATAGAAAAAACTGCACTTTAAAAACCAATCACGGAGATGTACTCATGGCGATAAAAGAAAGTGTGCATTACGAAGAAATTGATGCTCAAATAGAAAATGAAGAATACGTAGTGGCCAAACTAACAGGTGAAATTGGGCATCATCAATTTGACTGCTGTGTTTATAATCCCTCGAAAAACAGTAAATACCAATGGAAACAACAAAACTTCATCAGTTTGTTCGAAAAATTAACAAAATTTCAAATAC